GAAGCCTCTGCAGATGGCCAATATTCCAACAAAAACGCCTGGCATATAATTAGGAGTAGAAAATCGAAAACCCAGCTCTTCATCACATGTGTCTCAATTGCATTCCCTTCAAAATCTCCTTATTGTCTTGGAGACTATATCTTGGTAAGCTTCCTTTTGACGAAGTTATATCTAAATTTGATAATCATGTTGTTTCCAGATGCAGGTGTTGTAACAATCCCAAGGAAGACTCAATGCAACATGTCTTCACAAAAGGAGAAGCATTGAAACGTCTATGGCAAGCTTTTGGAGCCCCCCTGAGCATCAAACAAGAAAACTGGAGCATTAGGAGAATTTTTAAAAACTGGTGGGACGCAAAGTCTAAGAACAACATTCACAAATTCTTTCTTCGAGCAGTCCCTTTGCCCGTGTGTTGGGAAATATGGAGAAGTTGGAGTGCGTGTAGGTATGGTGAACAAAATAAATTTCAAGTTAGTAGCATGGAAATGCACATAAATTGGACCATACAAGCGACTCTAGATATGGCATTCCCAAAAATCAATAAAATAGAGTCTTGGCCAAGGCTCTGTGAAATGATTGAAAGATGGAGACCAACCTTCAAAGTGCTACAAATTAGCTGGCAGAAATCTTCTCCTGGAAAGATCAAAGTGAATAAACATGGAAGTTATTTCAAGGAAACAGGTAAAGCAGGAATAGGGGGAATAGTCAGAGACGAACAAGTTAAATTGATCATGGCTTTCTCCCTACCCGGCCAGTGTAATACTAATAACACCATTGAGGCTATGGCTGCTAAAAAGGGAATCCAATGGGTTGTCCGCCAAGGATACAACAAGATTGAATTAGAGTGGGACTCACAGATTATTTCCAACATGTTGATACAAGGCAACAAAAAGAATCTCAAACTTAAGAAGCTTGTCGAAGAAATTAAACAGATTCTAACACAAGCTGATGTTAATATTGCCCACTGCTATAGGGAAGCAAATCAAGTAGCCGACAAGCTTGCCAAAAATTATACCATTTCGGGCGAAAGTTCCTTCTTTTACTATTTCCAACAATTCCCAGAAATGTAAAAGGACCTTTTCGACTAGATAGGTGGCAATTACTTAGTTTTAGAACAAGGTACGACAAAACTAATTTCTTTGTAAGTTGATTATTTTGGTAGCTCAACATGAGTGAGATGTAAATATTTGTAACCCCTCATGTTCTTCAGGATCAGAAGGAGGTCAGGTCCATGGCCCCCTCCTATGTACGTTTTTGGTTGATATAGACGTGGTAGGATTCTCGCCAAAACCCCCCAACACCATACGATGTGAAAACCTGGGTGATTGGTTTAATTAAAAAAAATTAGTTTCTCTTGTCTTATTGTTATTTATGTTATCACAACTATAGTTTATATTTTTCTTGTACTTAATTAACGTATATAAACATTTTTTACCCTCTTTTGGGGTAATTTAGGGATCTGCCACATTTGGACACTGCTGAACCAGAAGAGATTGCTCAGGATGAGTGTTTGGATAACCAATTGTCAATTTTTGGTCATTGTTATTGAGATTCATGTCAATTCGGATTAATATTTAAGTATAGATATTACCTTCTTTTTTTGCTCCTTCAGTTAGGTTGCCATTTAGGTCTCGGTCGGGGCGACTTCCAAATTATGGATCTGCTAAGAACTTGCCACTTTCTTGCACAGCCTTGAGCTTAATTCGACCCAAGTTGGTAAGACCAATTTTATTTATTTAGTTATTTTGTGAAAAAATTAGCCAAATTGATGAGTCGATCACAAATATACGATGATTTTGCAGTGCTTCTTCCCTCGGTATGCAGCACGGCATATTTGCACGCCACTTTTCATCATCAACTCAGCCTATGATTCTTGGCAGGTTAGACTATAAATATCTATGATATACAAATTTTGTTCATTTATGCTATTACTTTATTTCTTTTGTTTCTTTCCAAATTCTAAATGGTTTTGCCTTTTGATTCTTAACAATTAGATAAACAACAGTTTGGTTCCAANGGGGGGGTTCTCTTTTAATCCAATTCATGTAACAATTCCTCTTTTTAACTTGCTTTTGAATTTTTTGTTTTAGATTTCAGGTTGAAGTTTTTGGAGGCATTGAACGAACTAGGACCAAGTATATCAAGAGGATATTTCATTTCCTCTTGCCATTCCCACAATTGTATTGAAGCACAAGGCTATTGGTCGGACAATAACTCTCCAACATTAGCTAATAATGTCACTTTTTCCCCCTCTTTTTATATTGTAATATTTTCAGCTTTCCTTATATGTTGTTGTTTGACATTTGACAACAACTCAGTGTAACAGACAATTGCCGAAGCTGTTGGAGAAGGGTTTTTTTATCGGAGTGGGTTTCAAGGGATTTATTGACCTTATCCTTGAGGCAAAAATTGCCATTAGAGTTGCTCATGCATGTTGTACTACGTACCAGTGTTTTAAAAGGCATTTTTGGGACGAGATCAGGGGCGAGGTGCACCAAAAATGCCCCGGGGCGATGGTGTGGGGCGAAAGTCTCAAAAGGCGTACGCGCAGGCGTACGCACAGGCGTTCGTGGCGTATTTTTTTAGTGAGGCGTAAGCCCCAAAGATTTTTTCAAATTAAAATAAAATTTATTAAATAAGTCCTTCATATAATACCTAAATTCTCAAAATTCAGCTTGGTAATTACTGAAAAATTTTAAAAAACTGAAATGCATTAAATTTAAAAGTTAAGACCTTTTTTATTGATTGAAGTCCAAATTCATGGTCTTTTTTAATTCTTTATCTTGTCCGCTAGTCTGCTAACATCTCCTAAAAGCAACGAATATTCATTTTTTTTTTTACAAATATAAAGAGAACTTCATTCTCCTTCATAGCAGCAAGTTCAAAGTTCAAATTGCAGGTTAGTCATAGTTTTTGTTCCTTCATGTAGAGAACTTTGTTCTTTTCGACTCAAATCAATACAAGAAATTACCCTTATTGTGGCGACTAAAGTCGCCACCCCTAAGAGTCGCTGCTAAAGGTTATTAGTGGCGACTTTTGTATTGCCACAAGGAAACCCGTAACTGAAGGTTATTAGTGGCGACTATATGTAGTCGCCACTAATAGAACATATATGTCGCCACAAAAAGTTGGAAAAAACGCTACAAAAAATTGTTCTATAAGAACAAATATTAGATGGGTCGCCACTATAAATGTCCTTTAGTAGCGACTAAAGTTGCCACAAAAAATATTTATGTTCAGTGGCAAGATTATGTCGCCACTATAAAGGTTATTTAGTAGCGACTAAAGTTGCCACAAAAAATATTTATGTTCAGTGGCTAGATTATGTCGCCACTATAAAGGTAATTTAGTAGCGGCTAAAGTTGCCACAAAAAATATTAATCCATGCTACACAATGTTTCCTGTATTGACTAAAGTCGCTGCAAAAGAAATTGATATTCTGTGGCAACATATATATATCGCAAAAGTTACTAATTTTTTGACAAAACTCTGTCGCCACTAAAAGTTATTTTCTCAGCAATTATAACGACCAAAATTATATACATTTCCATGCCAGTAGGAACCTAATTCTCTAAAATTTCATATAGAGATATTCATATCAATTAACTATCAATATTAAAGCAACCAATCATGCTTGACAAACACCAAAAGAATTTCTCAAGCCGAATATTATAAATATTATCATTACTAAAAAGTCAATTACATATATATACTACCCGACACTTCATTGTGCATTGTAATTGTGCGCATATACATATCCCAAAAAAGATAACATATTAAGTGCCTTGTAACTACTCCTTGCTCCACACCATCCTTGAACAATACCACTGTCTAAGTGCCCTGTCCCTGCTAGACCAAAGTAATATATATAAGAAACATAATGAGATTTGTTATATCCAAAAACATGAATAGACGATTAAAGTATAAGCTAATACACTAGTATAACACAAAGTAAATTTGTTCTATGCTATTTCAATTGTGAAATGAAATGGCACAAGTGTGAGAACATAAGTTTTCACGCATTAAAAGAATGAGAATACAACAATTGCACGAAAGCCGGATAAAGTAGAGGTATTGGACAGTGAGAGGAATAGAAGCCTATTCTAACTTAAGCTCTACCCTTGTCCTAGCCTTAATTACCCAATTTCATGTGCTTATACTTTTCCATTCACTGAACCTACTCAAATAACTAATATGCATTAACAACCAAGACAGTCCAAAACTGCCTGAACACTAATCTCAAATTAGAAAATAGAAAATGTGTTTCTATATAGGGAAGATTCACTGGGGAAGATGCTAGAGATAGCTGCTCGCACTTCAATTACTCAAAATAGAGGTCACTATCAAATGTTTTTCTACTACTTTTGTCATGATTTGTTTAATTATTTAATGTTAATGCAATACTAGCACTAGATGTTCTCAAGAATATCCTAATGCAATACTAGCACTACATGGCTCGAGCAATTATACAACAATAATGGCGGCAGTCTCAGCAGCTCCAAGTGGAGGAATAACTGAGTTCCATATCTCAGGATTATCACGATACGATGGACCTCACAGATGTAGGCCAGATATGTGTGAAAGTGAAGATTGTAATGAACTTCTACTACACTTTGTTTCTCCAACGCAACACAAACACGAGAACCAACATGATCATCCAATAGAAAGGAGTGAAGATGAAGCACATCATCAGTCAAAGCAGCATAAAGACGAAGACATCATAAACTAGGCTTTCCATGAACCAAGAAAAAGAAACTATATATATGTAGCTTCAGCCAAAAAACTATATACATTATCTAAGAATTTACTCACTTCCAAGGCACTTAAATAAAACTAGTTTACAGTGGATTGGGATATAAAAAGTTGGACAATATGCTAAATCTGATCATTCACTGTAAAGATAGACTTGCTAATGGTATTTTGAATGCTAAACCTGCTCATTCACAGCTCGTCCCGCCTCTCCCACGTTTTCCTCGTCCAATTCCTCTCATTTCCTGCAATAAAACATAAAAAGAAAATGATTGATCAGAATAGAGAAAATATTAATTCACTTATTTTCTAACTTCAGATGTCTATAGAAAGGGGACATATGTCCATGCCTCACTAGATACTAAAGTAAAGAAAGCTCTACTGTTTGTTAGTTGATGGTCAACCCTTTTCACCCAAATTAGCAGGCACATAGAACAACAGATCCCTTCTTTTAACACAATTCATTACTCCACCTATACATTATACCAATATAACGGAAGACCAATACAACATAAAGCTACAAGCATCACGAATAGAATCAAAAAAGAAATATAAAGATTCAAGCATCAATAATTTTTGGTTCATTGGCAGTTCCAAACAAATACATGGGGTAGTATAAAGTCATGGACAAAAATATAGAGAATTTTCAAAATAGGATGTAACATTTATATCATTCGTCTTTTGCTTCTTAGTCTTCAAGAGGATGTATCAGTGTCCTCCCCATCATCATCATCAAATAACTCTTCTTCACTATCTTCACTCTATGATATTTCTATATGATTGCCATTAATGAAATCATCTTCCTCATTATGCACATCGATATCAGCTTGCGTACTTGCATAATCGTAGTTAATACTTTGTGATTCAACATTATCCCTAAGTAGAGACACCTCAATAATATTTTCTTGGTCATTGGTGCACAAAGTATTAAATTCAGCTTCCTCTTGTTGATAAACTTCTTCATTCAGTAATTCTTCATCTTCAATATCTACACAATTATCATCATTATCAGGAATTTTGAAAAGGTCACGAGGATTTGTCTTCACAACAACAAGCCAATCATTATCGACCATGTCGTCCAAGTAAAAGACTTGTTCTGACTGAGATGCCAACACAAATGGCTCATTTGTATTCAAGGCACACCGAATATTCACACTTGTGAAACCATATTTGTCAATCTTATATCCTCTTCCCAAGCGAGCCACATCCCACCAATGACACCTGAATAAGTAAACTTTTCTGTTTCCCACATAAGATAACTCATAAATGTCCTCTAATACACCATAATACACCTTATTAGAGTCTGAATCATCTCCTCTCACAAGCACACCACTATTCTACGTTTTTCTTCTCAATGCAAGCTCTTTTGTATGGAATCTAAATCCATTCACCACAATGTTGAATATCGATGTACTAATGGTGTAGGACCGACGGCTAAGCTTATGAGCTCATCCTTTGCACTTCCTTGTGCAGATAGTACAAATATCTACAAAGACGAACAATATTGTTATGACCAATAACATGATGGGATGAATAAACTAATGTCAATATTATTATTTGAGTAGACATGCACCTACACGTGCACGAAACCAATCAAGAAACCCATTTTTATGAACTCTCATTGAACTTTGGCTTTCAATCTCGCTTGTATATTCCCTACATTTTAAGTTAGCTAAGATAAATCGGATTCAAATTATCTCAATGTGAAACTATCTTGAAGTTAATAAGAGACTTACTCCATGAAATGCGAAACCTCTTCACAATTTTGAAGCACATACATACATGCTTGTTTAAACTCATCATGAGATAGCCTGATGTCGTCTGAGGCACCCTTTGTTTGCCCACTTTTTTTAAAGATATATATCTCATCATTTGACACAGATCCATCGTCATTCCTAGTTGGTTTATTGAACTTTGTTAAGATATTCTTCAAGTATCGTGAGCAAAATGTGAGGCTTTCCTCTGCCAAATAACCTTCTGCAATTGAACCTTCTGGACGATTTTTGTTGCGAACATATGACTTAAGTGTTCGTAGATACCTATATAAAATGACTTATTAATATAATGTGTGTCATTCTAAAACTATAGCATCGAAATTATTAAATAATAAATTACCTCTCAATAGGATATATATTCCAATATTGAGCTGGTCCACCAAGCTTTGCCTCACTTGGCAAGTGAATTGGAAAATGAACCATAACATCAAAGAAAGCCGGAGGGAAAACAAGTTGAAGTTTGGTCAAAATAACAGGAATTTCTACCTCTACGATATCAAGATCTTCAATCGTCAAACACTTAGAGTATATATTCTTGAAAAACTTTCCTAAGGCTATAATTAGATCACACACTTCCTTGGGTAGAAAACCACGTATAGCTACTAGAAAAATGTCTTGCAACAATACATGATGATCGTGACATTTCAATCCATGTATCTTTTTCTCTTGTACGTTGACACACCTTGAAATGTTTGAGGAAAATGCATCAGGAACCTTCAGATTAGCTAAGAAATTGCACACCTTCAGCTTCTCTTCCGCGGATAATGCATAGCATGCTGCAGGTAACAAAATATTATTCCCATCCTCAATAGGATGCAACCTTTGTCTGATTCCAAGATCCATCAAGTCATATCTACTTTTCAATGTGTCTTTTGTCTTACCAACCATATTCATGACAGTTGATAAAATATTATCGGACACATTTCTTTCTATGTGCATCACATCAAGGTTATGTCGTAACATAAGACTCTTCCAATAAGGCAATTGGAAAAAGATACTTTTCTTCTTCCAATTGTAAGCATTGCTATGAACATCACGCTTTCTCTTTTGTCCTTTACCAAAACTCACATTACCCAAATCTTGTAATTGCACAAGTGCTTCATCACCAGTTAAAGGGTTAGGTGCAACTCCCATTTCAACTTTCCCATCAAATAACGTCCTACTTCTCTGCCATGGATGGTCCATGGGAAGGAAGCGACGATGACCCATATAACACAACTTACTACGCAAGGAAGTTGATTGTGTATCTTTATGGCAACAAGGGCATGCAAGCTTGCCTTTAGTTGACCATCCTGAAAGATTTTCATATGCAGGAAAGTCATTGATCGTCCACATGATAGCCACACACATAAAAAAACTAGATCTTGAGTGTGCATCATAAGTCTCCACCCCGACCCATAATTCTTGCAACTCTTTAATCAATGGTTGTAAATATACATCAATATCATTGCCTGGACACTTGGGGCCCGGAATAAGAAGCGTCATTATGAAATATGGATTTTTCATGCAATCCCATGGTGGCAAATTATACGTAGCTAGTACGACTGGCCAAATGCTATGATTAGAACTCATGTTCCCATAAGGTTGGAATCCGTCACTCGCCAAACCTAATCGAACATTTCTTAACTCAGCTGAAAAGGTGGGATGTTGTGCATCAAAGGATTTCCATGTTATTGAGTCATATGAATGTCGCAAGACACCATCATCAACATTTCCCTCCTTGTGCCACCTCATTTTTGTTGTTGTTTCTCTTGCCATCTATAATCTTTGAAGCCTTGGTTTGATTGAAAAATGCCGCAAGATTTTATGAGCTACTTTCTTGCCTCCATGTTCTTCGGACTTCCATCTAGACTTACCACACTTAGGACATGCTTGGACATCGGCATAATCACACCAATATAAAATACAATCATTTCGACATGCATCTATTTTAGTGTACCCTAAGCCGAGGTCACAAAGAACTTTCTTTGCTTCATAGAAAGAATTAGGTACAAATGACCCCTCGAGAAGAACTTTTTTGAAAAAGCTCAATAATGCATCCATCGATTTATTGCTCCAATGGTTAAGACACTTCAAGTGAAGTAATCTAACAATAAAAGACAACTTCGAAACTTTTTTACAACCAGGATAAAGTTCTGTCTCATCATCTTCTAACAATTTGTAGAACTTTGTTGCATGTACATTTGGCTCTTCATTGTCCTCTGAATTATTGTTATTATCCTCCACATTCGTATATCCACAAGCATCGTGAATCATTTCAGTAATATTATCCTCTTCAATGCTATCATCTTCCGCTTCATCACTAATTGCAGTCTTAGAAGTTTCAACTCTAACTAACACTTCTCCATGCAAGTCCCACACTTTATAAGAATCACAAAAACCCTTCTTCAATAAATCTCCTCTTACACCAACCCTTAACTTGAACACGGTATTCAGACACCCTTTACAAGGACACCGAATCATAGTGTTCACCGTTGGTTGACTGAATGCCCAATTAAGAAAGTTGTCTACTCCATCTCTATATCTTTGGTCGACTCTATTCCTAATATTCAACCAACTTTTATCCATCATATCTATATTAAAAAAAAATAAATAAATTAATTTACTAATTAAAAGGGGAAGGATTATAATAATCAAAAAATATATATAATAATTAACATATACCAGGGGTATTCAGACAAGCAGTCACAAAAATACATTATTCAAACAAGAAGGAAGTAGTCTATTCCAGAATTACTTATACGAATTGTGTGCAATGAAGAACAAGTTCAAACCAGGGTACGTAACACTCTATGAAACTACAAAAATACATGACCTTAGTAATGTGTATTTGATGTGTTTTTGTGACTCATAGATGTTAATACAAAAATAGAGCTATAAAAATTAGTAGTTTTCCTAACGCATTTTTCTTAGGCTTGTTAACTAGTTTTGTATAAGTTTTCTGTTCTTGGTGTTTGTTTTGCTAAGTAGTGGCTTTAGTTGGAAGAAAAATTATCACTGGTCTAGCGTGTTATGCGTCTAGTTACCTTCTCTTCCTAATTATTGCTTTCAGCTCCTACTGAAGGGTATATGAGCACAGAGAAGGGAGGATTAACCTAGGAAAGTACTATCCAATTTTTAATCGTCATACTTCCTACTGAGCAAGGGCAGGCACATTGAAATAGCAGCTTCTATGTTTATCTGTTTACACTTCACATGATTTAGTATTAGCGTTAGGTTTAAATTAAATTTTGAAAGTGGATAGTTACCAGTTTAACCATTTGGAAAATTTCCCACCTGCGATCAAAATATGCTGAATGTGCTCGTGAACGTTAAACCTACAAAGCCTTAGGTCACATATATAGGCACATCTGCCAGAGAATAACAAGACCTTAGTATGTGGAAATTAACAACTAAAATCATTAAACCTACAAAGCCAACCCAACTGAAATATGAATTGTCATATTTTTCTTGCTAGTTCTCTAGAGTTGTTATTTGATTTGAAGAAGGAGAGTTGTTAAGTAGGGAGAAGTTGTGTAATTTGTTTTTCATGCTGTTGGGCATTTATAGTTGCCCCATCCCACATGGACAGCCAGCTTATTCTCTATAAGTTTTTTTGTATTAGAGAATTTGAGCTAGGTGTTGTAGAGGAGATAGAAGTTTGTACAGATCTACCTAAACCAATTAACATTAGCAGTTCGTTGAGCTACTAAGATGGAAAAAAATAAACATCTTTGAGCTAGGTGTTGTAGATGATACTGTTTCTGTTTCAATTGGGTTAGGGGTGTTCGAGCTTCAAATGTATCTCTCTCTAATCGTTGCCTTAGGTCATATATATAGACACATCTACCAGAGAATCACAAGACCTTAGTATGTGGAAATTAACAACTAAAATCATTAAACCTACAAAGCCAACCAATGTATATCATTCAAACAAAGGCCAGGCAAATTAAATACATTGTACCTGGTTGAACCATACAAATTGCTTACCTGAACAACTAGAAATAAGCTGCCTCCCTGTTCCTTACGAAATTATAAGACAATAACAAAAAACTCAGTGTAATCCCACAAGTGGAGCCTTGCGAAATTACAGGGCTTATGCGGAGAAATATCAAACTCGGTCTGAACCTAGTCACTGCACTGTGAGATGGACAGTGATTTTTGACTTGAACACATTCCTGCAAGGCATAAGCACAGTAAGATACAATATTAAGGAAGCAGATGACATCAAATAGGAAACTGATAAGTTGAAATTTATCTAGTCTTATTAACAGATCTGTATGATGATATTTTGAGATTAAACGAACTTAAAGCAAGTACTTTTTCTCAAAGTTGAAGAAGCTTTGAATCGACTTCCGCAGCAGTGGTCTTCTTCTTCGCACACTCTGATTCAAAAATTCAAACCAAAACTCGTCAAACAAGCTTTCAATCTTGAGATTTAGCTTCAAAATGAAGTTTCCGGCAAGTATCATAAACACCCAATCGAATTCACATTCTGATTTGAGGGATTTTGATTTGGGTGAGATTTTTGAGGGATTTTGATTTGGGATTTCTATATCTAGACAGATTTCTAGCTAGAGAGGATCGATTTTGAGTTTCAATTTTGGGATTCCTAGCTATAGAAGACGGATTTTGGATGTTTCACAGTTCTTCACATCGAGTCGATGTGTTCGAGATGAGAGTTTGGCTACTTCTGTCTCTGGACAGATTTTAGTGTTTCATTTGTTATTTTAAATTCTAGCTTATTTTTTTTGTTATTTTAAAAGATAATAGGAGANATATATATATAATTTTCTTTGTTTTTTTATAATTTTTACCAATTTATAAATATTTATTGTAATTATATTATTTTAAAAAATTTAAAAACTAAATATCTATGGGGCTTACGCCCCGAGCCTAGGGACTTACGCCTCGCCTTACGCACACGCCTTTTAAAACACTGCTACGTACTATTTCAGATGTTTTTTGTTTTCAAGGGGTTTCAAGGGTTTTATTGCCCTTACCCTTGACGCTCACCGGTGAGGGAACTCGGCAAGTTACTCCTCAAAATTGTAACTTATTACTTTTCTTAAGCCAAATTATTCAACAACTCAAAGCAAGAAGCTCAACCCAAGAGAGGTAAAGACCAATTAAGTTGGAGTAGTACTTAAGTACTTTCAAAAATGTTGGAATTGTTCGAATTGTCCTAATTATTATTTTGTAATAATTAATGAGAAATTTTTAGAAACCACTATTGTTTAGTGGTTATTAGCTTGCTATAGCTACAATTTACTAAATTACTTCCTATAGCTATGTTTTAACTTATTATAGAGTGCATTCGATATATTTAAGCTAATGTATTCATGAATACAATAGGAAAAGTCGGCGGAAAAAAGGAAATTATAGGTAACACATAGACTTTATTCATATGTATTCGCGAGTTGTATTCGTGAATACAATAACAAGATTCTGTGAAAAATAGGTCTTCAACTGTTTAAAAACAGTAAGTGAGTCAATTAACGCGATATACTCCTAATACAACTCAAGAAACTCGATTATAACACGCACAAATTGTATTTCCAGTTATAGAAAAGATTTTCAGCCGAAAAACACCCTAAAAATAGAGCAATCTTCAGAGATTCAACCCATCCTTTCTTTTTTTTAGTGGTATCTTTACAATAGATTTATTTATTGAAATTACATAATTATATTGAATAAAATTAAATACATAAAAATAAATTGAATAGATGAAGTATAACATGTCATCTATAGTGCAAAAACATATGAATACATACTGCAGATACATTTGAATACATATATATATCTGAATACATAAATTATAGTATTAATTTAAAACATATGAATACATTCTTCAATACATTGAATACATAATGCTGAATATATACTGCTGGGCAAAATAGTGAAACAAAGTGAAGCTTTGAAATTATATAATTATATTGAATACAGTGAATATATTGAAAAATCAAAAAAAAAGACATCGAATACAATGAAATACATGGAAATACAATGAGATACATTGAAATACAATAAAAATAAAGGTAACAGACTCTTCAAGTTCCTCAGCCCCAAACTCCGTCCCCAATCCACTGATATCTAGGAAGCCACCATGAGAGGCATCGCCGCCAGTACCGGCTCTCTCTGGGTCGTCCAGGTAGTGAATCTCTCATATTTTCTTTGAAAATTTTGAGATATGCACTTGTATTTCTCCAGATCTTTGTTTCTCCTTTATCCTTTTTTTTCCAGATCTTTGTTTCTCCTTATGTAACAACCCGATCGGTCGTTTTGAGCTTTTGCACCTTGCTCGTCAGTTCTAGTGCATGACTTACTCCGTGTGATGTATTATGACTTATGTAAATCGTTGGTTTTGGTTTTTAGGGTAATCAGAATGAATTTGGAAGAACGGTTCTCAATTTGAAGCTTGAAATTTGAAAAGTTTGACCAAGATTTAACTTGTCGGTATATGATCTCGGATCGGAATTTGTATGATTTGGTTAGCTCCGTTAGGTGTTTTGGGACTTAGGAGCATGATCGGAATGTATTTTGGAAGTCTGTGGAATGTTTAGGCTTGAATTGGTGAATTGAGATTTTGGCATTTGCCGGTTGATAGGTGAGATTTTGATATAGAGGACGGAATGGAATTCCAAAAGTTGTAGAAGCTCCGTTGTGTCATTTTTGACGTGTGTGCAAAATTTCAGGTCATTCAGACGTAGTTTGGTTGTTTTTTTTATCAAAAGCGGAATTTGGAAGTTCTTGAAATTTTTTGGCTTGAATCCGATGTGATTTTACTGTTTTTATGTTGTTTTGCGCATTCTAAAGGTTGGAACAAGTTTGAATGATGTGATAGGATATGTTAGCATGTTTGGTTAAGGTCCCGAGTGTCTCGGGTGAGTTTCGGGTGGTCAATCGGACCATTCCATGTTGTTTGGAGTTGCAGGTTTTGAGTTTCAGCTGTTGCAGAGAATTCTCCTTCGCGATTGCGTAGGGAGTCTCGCGATCGCTTAGGGCTTTGATAAGGGCAGGTCAGGTTGTTCTTCACGATCGCATAGCATGAGTCGTGATCGCGTGAGTTGGGCAAGTGGTGCATTGCGTTCGCGTGGATTTATCCGCGTCCGCGTAAGTTTACAGTTCTGAGCATCGCGTTCGTGTGGACCTCACCGTGTTTGCATAGAATAAATTTGAGGGCTTGGTAGATTGTGCTTCGTGATCGCGAAAGAAGTCCCGCAATCGCGATGAAGGATTTCAGGCCTGGGGCAGAATGTTTAAAAAAGTGAGTTCGCGATTTTTGGTCTATTTTATCCATTGTTGATCAATTTTTGGAGCTTTTGAGAAAGATTGAAGACGGAATCGAAGGGAAACACTTGGAGGTAAGATTTTTGAACTCAATACTCGATCCTATGTTGATTCTTACTTGTTTAATCATGAAATATGTGGAAATTAAAGACTAAAATTGAGCAATTAGGGCTTGGATTTGGAGAGTGTAAATTGGGAATTTGAAGGGGCAATTGAGGTCCGATTTTGGTGTTCTTGGTATGTATAGACTCGTGAGAGGATGAAGATTCCATTGATATTAATTTTATCGGATTCCGAGACGTGGGTATGGGGGCCGGGTTTGAGCAATTTCGGGATTTTTATGTAAATTAGATATTTTCGAGTGGCCTTTGTTCCCTTAGCATATTCTAATAGTTACGTACTATATGTGGCTAGATTTAGAGCATCTGGAGGTTGATTCGCGAGGGCAAAGGCATCGCGGGCTAGAGTTTGGACCGGATCGAGGTAAGTAATGATTCTAAATGCTGTCCTGAGGGTTTGGAACCCCGGATTTCACATCGTTGTACTACTTTGAGGTTACACACACGCTAGATGACGAGCGTGGAGTCGTGCACCGTTGGTGATTATGACTTGGTCCGTCCCGTACGACTGTTAAGTCGCATATTTGATTTGAAACTTTATGATATTCCATAGTTTAGAGATTGATATTATATTTTGGTTGTATACCATGTTTGGGGCCTTGTGACGACCTGTTGAGACCCTAGGAGCATTTTTACTATTTTTCCACACTCTATTTGTTTTGAAAGCATATCCTCAGTCATGTTTTACGTGTTTATTGTTTAAATCTGGTTTTATCACTTTACTTCTTAAAATGTCAAAACTGTTTGGGCTAAATTCCTTGTTTTACTGATGGTCCGAGTGATTGTGGGTTGATGACTGAGATAGACCGAGGGTCTGATTGTGAGGTTAATGACTGAGAAAGGCCGAGGGCCTGGTTGTGAGGATTATATATCTATGGATCGGATTGCACGGCGCAACAATATATATATATATATATATATATATACACATATACATACATATATATATATGTATGTATGTATATGTATGTATATGTATATGGATAAGGCTGCACGCCGCAGCGATATATGGATCGGGCTGCACGCCGTAGCGGTTACTATATGTATATGGATCCGGCTGCACGCCGCAACGGTTACTACATTTTACCTATTGAGTGTGAGTGCTGAGTGAGAGCATTGATTGGTAAGAGTTGAGTCATGAGTGACTGAGAGGCTTGCCCGATGGGCTATAGATATACATGTACATGAGTTATATTTTGCCTGAGGGGCCTGTTTATGAACTTACTGTTTTACACTCTTCCTTACAGTGAGCTTTTATCGAATATGTTGATTTAATTACTGCTTTCACTCATCATTTAGATCGATCCTGTATTGAAAATGTTGAGCAAACGCTTTAAACAACTTTCATTCAAACGGAAGTGTTAAGTTATGAAATGGTATAAATTTCTGTTTTGCCCGAGGGGCTGTATACGAACTATGTTATGCCCGAGAGGCCTATTATGGTTTTCATCCTTTTTATTGGTATTGAATCCCCTACTGTAACTGTTAGAAAGCATTTTCAAATGATTTTTACCAAAAGCTGGATTTTAAATGAGACGATTGACTCGTATTCTAATTTAAAAGCCTGTTATGCTTGTTGAGTTTATCATAAATGTGGACTCATTGTTTCCTACTGCTCAGTCTTTATTTACTCTTATTAATTACTAGGTTGGAGTACTCACATTACTCCCTGCACCTCGTGTGCAGATTCAGATATTTCGGAACCCGGTAGCGGGTGTTGATTGCTCAGAGGCGAAGTCATCGGAGTTTGCAAAATGGTTGCACGACGTTCGCAGCATTGCTTTCCTTCCACTCATTTTCATTACTGTATTTAGTACATTATTAGACTCTTTTTGTATTCAGACCTTGGTAGATGCTCATGACTAGTGACACCCCAATGTCGGGCTTGTATAATTATTCTGCACTTTTCTTTTAAATTTTCATTATGAGATTATTAGTTTATAAATGGTACAAAAACAATTTTTGTTGGAAAAAGGTTGATTCGGGAGTTGTGTCGACTGGCCTAGCTTCACGATAGGCACCATCACGACCGGGTCGGTTTAGGGCCGTGACAAGTTGGTATCAGAGCCTAGGTTATATAGGTTTCACGAGTCATGAGCACGTTTAGTAGAGTCTCGCGGATAGGTTCGGAGACGTCTGTATTTATCCTCGGGAGGCTGCAGAACCTTTAGAAAAAACTTCACATTCTTGATTTCTTATCATGCGTCCTTGATCCAGCTTGAAAAGTAGCTCTTTGAATTTCTTCCACGCGATCGTATGCGCGCATGAGTGCTCAGTATCAGATATGAATCAATGGCTTGTAATTCACTGATCGAGAGGTGAGTTGTGATCT